TAAACACTTAGCGCCTCTCCTGTAAGACATGTCGAAAGCGCCGTCACCCATTGGCTTTCAGGCCACTTTTGCCCTCTGGCGATGCTCTCAAACCGGCGTATAAACGCATCTAAGTCGTCCCTTCCTTCGTCAAAGGTGACGAGCAGTCTACCTGCGTGTATTCTCAAACTCGGCTCCTCCCCGGCATCGCCGTGCTCACTGCTGGATCTGCTCACACTGCTACTCTCATTGAGGCGGATCTTTAATTGCAGTAACTGCACTTCCCGTTCTCCGGCTTCCCTAGCCGCTTCCCTTGCCGCTTCTCGTTCTTTCTCCCTTTCTTGGCGCTCTCTCTCCTTTTCTTCGCGTTCTCTTTCCCTTTCTTTTTCCTTTTCCTCCCGGGCTAGTGCCCGCTCTTCTCTGGCTAACGCCTGCGCCTGCTGCTCCTTAACCCATTGTCTCAGTTCGGTGCCCTCGAGGCCTAACTGTTTACCGTGCGCGATCCACTTATCAAAATCCATACTCTCCATACTGCAAATTGTCACTATAATGCCACTATAGAACCAGCGCAATCTTATGCAGGCTGCAACTGCTTCAACTGTGCGGCTCTATCACCACGCTGTCCGCACGGTTCTCGTTCACTCCTCACTGTCTTATTCTTTGTACGGAACGTCCTGTCTCGCGGACGCCAGTTTTGTTACAAGCTGCCACTCAAGCGTCGCCAGCGCGAAGTCGGCGACGGGAATGACAGCAGGTTGGTTCGTTCCGCACGCAAGCAGAGACAGTGAAGAGATCAGAGACGTGAGAAAACAAAACAACTTTACTCTAGTGATATTGCAGCACACGGGATATAATACAACACTTCAATACAACTAACAAAGCACATCAACACTTGATGCAACTAAAAAATATATACAAAACAATAAATCGGCTTACGCGACAGAACTATCACAAACTACACAAACTAACAACAACAGAAATACGGAGTAGAAAGTTCGAAGATATAAACAGGTGAAGGCATACGTGTGATGACCGGCAGCGTTGTGTCCCCGACGATCGGATGCGAGAAGTCGAAGAGAGTTTTGGCACGACTGCGATGTCGGCGGTGTTGCAACGCCTGGTGGCTCCGGGAGGCTAGTGCTTGCAGGTGACTTCGAGCAGGTTGAGCTAACTCGAAGCGAAGTCCCGATGTCTACGTTGCAGACGTTAATATCGCGTCACAGCTAGACGAACGGCTAAGTTTAGGTGGCCAGCCGATACAGAGCCACACTAAAAACTTCTAGAAGAGATGCTTGTTGATCTGTTTCTACACCATCTTGGTCAGCGACTAGTCTGCCTAGCAGGGCAAAATCCTGCGCCTAAATCCCCCTCGTGTCTCCTCGCTCTCTTCCTTGGGGACAAGAGATTTCAACCTGGGTCCAATCATGCGCGTTTAATTGAGGGGAAACTCCGCCCCAAAAGTATTTTGACCCCACCCCTTTTTAATAGGGAGAGGGCCCGCAACTAGCGAGAGTGACAACCTCTCGGGTTGTTGTCATACGGCTTGGCCACCAGAGCGTTTCGTACGCTTTTCTCCGTGGGAACGGTCAACCACTTAGCTTTCAGCCGGGCGGAGTGGTTCTTGAGAGAAAGGAAGAGAAAAGTGAGCCCCGTTATTGTCTGCTTCAGTGAGCGACACCACCACAGAGCTCACAAAGGGATGGGGGTAAGGAGGGATAAAAGGGTAGAGGTAAAAGTATAGGAAAGAGGAAGAAGAAGCAACAACAAACTGAGGGGATAGAAGAGACAGGAAAGATGGAAAAACGGTCACTGGAGTCCGAGGACGGGGTACACTTGCGAGAGATGGTGTCGGCGTCTGTAGATGGCGTAGAGCAGGTCCAGTAGGTCAGAGCTGCGCTGTCACCGAAGACAGCCGGCGACAGGAGATGACGTAGGGCCAGCCCAGTCGGCCAGAGCTACGATGACGCCGAAGGTCGTGAGCGCGCGGAGCGCGCGGGCGCACAACCGGTCGGCACGAAATCCAGGGAGCATCTCCCTTTCAGCCGGGCGTCTTGTAGTCTAATTCTTGTACGGGGTATACCGCGGCCTTCTACGACCTTGCAGACGTCGCCACGGTTATAAAAGGATTAACTGTCGGCGGCGACGTTCTAAGGAGAGCACCCCCATTTTGCACTTATCGGTTCCCTTTCATGTGCCGCCGTTTCTCACGGTCAGTCGGGGAGTACGGCGCCCGTTAATTGCCGTGACGTGGTGTCGCCGAAAATAGCCGTCCGTGACATTCGGTAACCCATCAAACGGTGTGTCGTCTCCTGTAAGGCGGGTCAATGATTCTGCTGTTTTCGAAAACCCTCTAATAGTTCGTCGATATTAGGTGGACAAGCCCAGAAAGCGCCGCACAGCCTTCTTCAGCCATGTCAACATGTCAGCACGAGTGTAACTGTTTCTACGTACAGCGCCGAACAGCCATGTCAGTGCGAGTGTAACTGTTTCTACGTATGCCAGAAACTACGAACGAAAGCACTTGGTCTTGCTCCTCTGCTGATGCATTGTAGTAGGATCGGCGAGTGCAACTTTCCAGAGTGCTGTTTATTGTCGTCGTACCCTCAATTCACCAGGATAATTTTGAGTGGGTGCCGCCTTCTGTTTCGTCGTCTGCTAGCCACGTCGTGTTTCTATGTGCGCGTACGTATTGCACGTTCTCAAAGTGTGCTCTCTCTGGTCATGTCAGCGCGAGTGTAACTGTTTCTACGTATGCCTGAAACGACGTACGAAAGCACTTGGCCTTGCTCGGCTGCTAACTTTCCAGAGTGCTGCTTATTGTCGTCGTGTCCTCCATTCACCAGGATAATTTCAGAGTGGGTGCTGCTTTCTTTTTCAAGCTTATCGCTAAATTCTCTTGGCATCCTCCCAAACACGATGACTCTTAAATGTTTGTTAATGCAGCGTTTTATGGCGACTCGGTTGTAAGGACAAAGGCTCTAAGCCACGCACTTGCGTGCTGTTGGTGGATGTACAACTACTGCATTTTAATATATAGATCATGTGAGGAGTATTAGTTGTGTTTATCTGGCCGTGGTACCACTACATAGAAATATTACCATCACATCAACTGTGAGATTTCGGTACTTACACTGTACTTAAACAGAGTTGCCGTGCGCAACCGTGTCCTTAGATTTAAGAACGCTTTAAAGAGCCAGACGTTGAAAATAACTCAGACGGCATGAATTATATATAATGCCGTATATTGTCACAGAAAATTCTATCTTTTTTACGTTGTTTTCAGCGTTTGTGTGGCATTGTTTGTGACCGGCGAAAGGCAGTGGTAATTTTTGTCTGAAGAAAAAAATCTGCTTGTCTCATTAAGCAGGCCTTTCTTGTGGTACCGCCATGCACGTAATCCATGGATAAAAGTTTTCTGCCTAACTCTTATATAATTTTTTTACATTTTTACTAGTGCAAGAACGAGTCCTTACATGTGGTAAACGCATTGTAGTGCAATGCGTCGTTAGCCACTAGACTTTACTGACAAGACTTCCCACGCTTCATGGTGAACAGAATGAGAGAAAAAAGATCGTATATACGTACAAGGTGCGAGTGGTGGTACTGAATGAATCGCACAGATATGCGGGCTTTCTACAATATTTCTTTTTCTTTCTTGTAGTTTGCAGATGATAAAGATGTAAATAAGTAGTTCAGTCACGCTACATCAGTGCGTAGCAGGCACAACACTAGCTAACCAGGTAAAAACAACACAGCAAGGACGTGATTAAGTGCGAAAGCGTGAAGAGAGTCACCAAGGGCGACCAATTCTATGAAAGACAGAATGCGCTTAACTTGCGGGCATTGTTAACGTTGCATAGGCGTCGTGCACCTATTCCGTGCAGAAGAGCGTAGACATTAACAGTAAACTGTTGTCAACGCATTTCATTCGCCGACAACCGGCTCAGACCACACGCAACGAAGCGCCGCTGCGTGTGTTTGTATATGCGCCGCCGACCGCTTATTCACACTTGCACGGGACGGTGCTACAACCTATATATAGCCTGATCTCGCCGCGAACAGCACTTAAGCGAGCGTGGGACCTATGGGTAGTAAACGGATATCCCTAGTCTTCGTTATTTTGCGTTCCTTTTGGCTTCGCGTGGCTTCAAGCTCCTTTGTCACGAAACAACAATTGGTAAATGTTTGGCGGTTGCATTTCACCACCATAATCGTTTAGGCTCACCACTTCAATTGGTATCAAGATGTGGAAAATGGTTTGTGGAAAATGGATGTGGAAAACACAGCCATAAACGATGCCACAAGTGTGATTAACCGTGCACAAACATGAAGATCAAAACGAATCCATGCCATACCTATAATTCTCATGGTCACTGAACGATCGCAGTGCTAGAGTGCCCTCTAGCTAATTTTAGAGAACCTTATGGGTAATGCGACCTTATCTGGTCGTCTCAAGAAGCGGAGTTGCACCTAAATGTTTCTTCTTCCCTGACCCGGGCATAAAACACTTTCGTGTTAAACCATTCGATTCGATTCGCACTCACATTTCAATATTCGAATTACTTCGCCCCCAAACAGCTCTCAAAAAAAAAACTTCAGACACCATCATCATCATCATCATCATCATCATTCAAAGTCAGTTTCGCCCTTAGAGCAAAGCAATGGATTCGATAGGAAAAAATCAGAATATTGCACGAAGAACGAAAAGAAGCATGCGAGAATGCACAAAGAAGGACGCCCAAAAAGAACGAATAGTAATACACATTACAAATATGAATTAACAAATGTCATACTTATTACTTGTTTGTATTTGAGGAGCGTGCTACAAATGTCCGCAACGCTGCGATAAAAAGTCAGACGGTGCATTGTAGCCGGCTCCTTGCTGACCGCTTGTCATGACTTATTCCTACGATGCGCGGGATCTGCTGAGATTCTTTTTTTTATTTGACACCTTGATAAGGCGTTTTACACCACGCATATGGAGAGACGTACTATTAAAGCGACTTTGTGTTGTTGTGCAGCTGATAACCTCCTGGCTGAGCGACGATGCAGCCGATCTGCTGGACCAATACGCTGACCGTTCGACGGACCTGGCTGGACTGCGACGCCAGCTGTTGGACTACCTGAGCGAGCGGCTATTCATCTGCCCCATGCATGCGGCTGCAGCAGCTCACGCTTCGCGAGGCGGCGCTGTCTACTCGTACGTGTTCGACCAGTGGTCCTCCTCGCATCCCTCATTCAGCTGGGCTGGGGTCGGCCATGGCATGGACCTGGTTTACACGTTTGGTCTGCCTCTCCTCCACATGGAGCACTTTTCTGACAGGGACCGGAAGGCGTCCGAGAACTTGATCTCCATGATCGCCACTTTTGTCGAGAAAGGGTCAGTGTATATCACCTATTTAGTCATGCTCGTTTGTCATTATTAGGTATAACGTTGCACGGACACAATAAGAGGTTACGTAACACGCACAGGGCGCAAACTTTCAACTTTTACGCAACGCAGTCTCTTCCTGTGTCAGTGTTCTTGATGTGCAACGTCATACCTATTAAAGGTCAGAGTATATGTGAGAAAATGCGCATGGGCATAAAGCTCCTCGGTCGGTGCCAGACTGACAGTCTGAGCATGCGGCCACAAGAGACAGATCATCCACCACTTACCCACATATATATGTGCGTAAGTGGTGGCGTAACCATTCGCTTCTTCACGGCGTTCAACCTCGGTCAGGCCTTCGGCCATAGGAGCTGTACACGCTGGCGCACTGCACGTGCGGCGATTGTAGGCCAGGGCCTGGCCCGAGTCCAGCACTCATTCGTTTGATTACCCACCCGAACTCGGCGCAGTGACCTAAAAAGGAGACCCGGGCCCGGCCTGAACCCGAGAAAAATTTTACCTACCCCATCCTGCCCTGCCTGACCACAGAATGGATTCCACTTGGCCCAAGCGAATATTCTAGGTGGTTGTTCCCGACGCATACAAATGGCAGTAATGTATTTTAGGTGGCAATTATTGTGATAGCAATTATGTGGACACTCTCGGCTGGATATCGCCGCCGGCGTTGGTGTCGATGTCATGCACCCTATATGTATACGTATCTGTATATATGGAAACGCAAGAAAAAAATGGTTCCAAATCTGCATGTTACACCGCAAATGTCGTCGAAAGACGATAGTCTTGCGTCTGGAGAGAGTGAACAAAACGTTTATTTGATGTTCTGCGCAAGAAAATCGGTGAATAGTATTTTGGAGCCGCTACATTAGACTGCCTCGAGCGTGTAGCAGAGACAAACGAGCGCATCGAGGCACGTTAGATACAACCGCCATCTGGCTGTTATCTTAAAAAAATGGGTGCAGCCCGCGGAGGCGCGCGCCAGTCTCGGAGGTTATAAGGTGTGGAACGCAAAGCAACGGGCCGGTGCCACCACCGTGACGTCGTAGCAAAGTCTTGGAAACACCTTTCTGAGCATCGCGTTGCACGGTCAGCGCAGCACAATAAATGCTACACTCCTTAGAGTTACTTGTGTGTGCCTCTTCAAGTATAAAGGCAGACATACAAAACATGGAAGCGTTGTTTTGACGCCTCAGATATGCGCAACAATTGTTTTTTAGTTGACAATCTCACAGCTATGAACGCTAAACCTTGAGCAATATTGGTGGGGGCTGTGGATGGGGTTGGCCGTTTGGTGCCGTTTGAGGTATCGTTAGGGCGAATAAACAGACAAATGTACAGACAGACACACAGACAAAAATTTTTCTTTCGAAAATCCCCAAGAAAGACTATTGTCTTTAAAAATCCAGAAAAAAGATTCCGGCGCGCGGAATCGAACGTGGGATATCCGCGTCCTGAATGCGAGGCGTCAGCCACTGTGAGTCAGCGAGGAGTACCTCCTTCTGCGTTCAAACGGCAAGCTATTTATATGTGCCACTTACCGCAGTTGGCGGGCATCTAGGGGGGAATTGGTGTTTTCAGCATTATCTGCAAGATTACGCAATCAGCGCGCGGCGGCTCTCATCTTTCACGCGTACGTTGGCCCACAGAGAAAAAAGTGAACAATCTCTCGTGCTCCCTTATCTCCCGGTGGGGAGGATCATACCTCCTGACTGCCGATGGGTTTGCACTAAAACGATTTTGTTGTAGTTACGAGGCGCATAAATGACACTGCAATTGTTGCACAGCCTGCGTTTTCGAAAAGGGTGCGCTTTTTGGACACAGCAGAGTAACAACTAAGACGCTTATTCTTGTTCATCTGTACCTGTTTGCACGTTTAGTGTGAAATTTGTGCGTCACCAACGTCGTGCACGTTTCTATTTGCTTGCCATTCTACGTGTGACCTTCCAGTTTCTTGCTATCGCGTTCATTGCTTGACCTTTGCGGCAAAGCTGTGACTTTCGAGGGGTGAAGCTCCTTATAGCGGCAACCGTTCGTCCCTCGTAGTCGTAGTAGTAGTGTGTAACCAGTCTTAAATATTGACCTCCAAGGTGGCGCCGGTGCGGGATCTCTTCTGTGCGTTGTTGAACAATAAAAAATTGCAGCGTGCGCGTTATCTAAAAGCCGAATTCTCCTGTCTCTAATTCTCCCTTAGCAGCCATTGGCATGCACTTTGAGCACTGTCTGACAAGAAAGGGTTGCTACGTTATACACGCTAGGGCGTAACCTCCTTGGGTTTAGAAAGGTTTAGCGAGCGTTGGGCCGCAGTGCCATGAATACAGTGAACTAGTATATACCATGAACTCGAAGTGGTTAAAGGTGGGAAGTAGACATGAAGCGCAAGCCGTAAGAAAGTGTGCGTGTGCCTCCTCTCGTTCACTCTTGGAATGTCCGCTGAATTGCGGTGCTTCTATATGAGGAATATACGTGAAAAGATGCGAGATGGTGGTACTTGGAATGTTGTATAGGTGGACGAACGGATGCAGAGACAGATGCACGGACGGACGCATGGATGGCTGCACGGACGGATGGACGCATGAACGGACGCAGGAGCAGATGCAAGGACGAACGCAGGGACGAACGCACAGATGGACGTGCGGACGCACGAACAGACGCACGCACGGACGGGCGGATGGACGCACGGGTGGCCACACAGACGCACTCATGGACGTACGGAAGCAAGAACGAATGGACGGACGGATGCTTCGCCCCACTCTCCATCATTCACTCCGTAGATATACTGTTATTTTTAGTTAGGTATTGTGGGCGCACGCTAAGCTAAGAATTATGCTGTATTTTGCGGTAATTACGTTTAAAAATGGTCTCACTGTGGTAATGGTTGGCCAGGTATGATGACGGAGTGAGGGATTATTCTTCACTGGTATACTCTGCATACTTTTTTAGAAATTATCTTATAGGTTGAGAATGCCTTTCTACAGGCTTCTCTTGGTTTTCGCCCAACTAAAATTATAACATAGCCTACGCGCTCCACAGGCACTACCGCAAATATTCTTGGTGTGATTTTAAAATTAATTGTCAGGCTTTTTCTAAAACATTTCACCCAATAGTGGCCCTTTCGACCATCATATTATTACGAAGATGAAGTAAAGGAAGAGGAAGGACACAAGCAGCTGACAGGCACGCGAATGTGCCACTTAGCCATTGTGACTTTTGTCTGTGGTTTTTCCTGTGTAAATGCATTTTGTACAGAAGTCACTAACCCCGTAAAATGTTGGTGAGAGGTGCTGGGTAACGATCAGGCAACGGAGCTCCACAGCGGACGTCGCGTCAGTTTTTCAGCCATGGCCAATGCGGAGCCCTCCGCGTCAACGTCAGCGTCTCCGACGAACACGGCGTCGCCACCATACGTTTTCACGCCACTTAAGGATCCCGGTACATTCTGTGGGTCCGATGGCGTCGACGTTGACGATTGGTTGGCCATGTTCGAACGAGTGAGTGAGCCGAACAGATCGGATCCAACACTTCAGTTGGCTAATGTGCTGCTTTACTTGAGAGGCACGGCCAAGGTGTGGTATGAAAACAACGAAGAAGAACTCACAAGAAGAATGGCGATTTGGGCTAGTTGGTTTGAATTCATGATAATAAGGGTTGCAGTCGAGCACGAATATGCTAGAAGAAACAGAAGAAAGTCGAGGTACGGAAGGCAAAGAGGTACGGAAGGCGCTCGTGTTGTCCTCTTTGCCTTCCGTACCTCGAATTTCTTCTGTTTCTTCTAGCACATTCGTGCTCGCGCTGCAACCCTTATTATCATGAAGAACTCACAAGCTGGGACCAATGCAAAGATGCGAGAGGTGTTTGACAGAACCGCCAGTCGTAAGATCGCCACCAAAAAGGAATTGCCCTGCCGTGCCGAATCTCCCTCGGAATCATACCTCGCATACATTCAAGACGTGCTGGCCCTCTGCCGAAAGACCGAAAGCGACATGACAGAAGGCGACAAGGTCGGGCATGTCCTGGAAGGGATCGCCGGCGACGCGTTCAATCTCTTGTTGTGCAAGAGCTGCTCCACGGTGGACGCGATCATCAAAGAATGTCGTCAGTTTGAGCAAATGAAAAGTTGCCGCATTCTGCAAACATTCGCCCGACATCCAAACACCGCTGCAACATCTATTTGCGAGGATCAGTCCGCACCACAACGTCCGTCACCGCCGGGAGACCTGACACGCATTCTTCGTCCCGAACTGGAAGCAATGGCGCCCTCGGCGTTCTGTTTGCGCAGTACCGATACCACTCCTGTTACTGTTTCTTTTGTTCAAGCTATCGTGCGCCAGGAGCTTGAAAACTTCGGAGTGCATTCCGTGTGCCATGTTACCACGCCCAGAGTCAGTGAACGCCCTTTCGCGATGCCCTCTTCTGACCGACGGTTTTCTCCACGTACTCGCAACCCAGCTGAGTGGCGAACTGCAGATGCCCGCCATGTATGTTTACACTGCCACCGCGTTGGACATATTGCTCGTCACTGCCGCAACACATGGTCCTCTGCACCTCGTGCAACGACCAATATGACCCGTTCCGACGTTACCGCCCGCACCTTTTCACCTGCCCAAGAGTCCAATGACGTTGACCAGTCTCGGAACACATGGTACAGCCGCTCGCCTTCACCACGTGGGTACCAGTCTCGTTCGCCGCAAATACGTCGTTCATCGTCCCGTTCGCCACAGCCATGACGCTGCTCGTTTCCCGTGGCTTCCGGCCGCATCGTCTCAGAAAACTGAGAAATGCAGCCTCCGGAGGTGGTGGTGCATTGATGACTTCCGCAGCAAATTCTCTCTCCGTTCCCACCAGACGAAGTGGAATAGACGTTGAAGTAGACGGCGTATCTGTACAAGCACACCGGGGCAAGCATTTCGGTCCTGAGTTCAAGCCTAAGCACACGTTTAAAGAAAATTCTGACACCAGCAGCTGTAAAAATGCTCCGTGTGGCCGATGGCGGC